AGATGGAAGCGTGTGGCGAGGGGAGAGAAGGCATCAGAGCCCCTGGGGCTGAGAAGCAGGAGAGGCTGCAAGAGGCCCTTCAGTGGAAGTGAGGGAAATTCAGGTGATTCTTCCTGAGACGCAGGAAGTGGGGCACCACTCAGCATGCACAATGGAAGCCAATTTTGACAGACATATTAAAGTTTTCTGACACATCTCCGTGCCAGGAGTGATCGTCTCCGGGTGGCGGGCTTCAGGAGGAACAGCTTTGGCTTATCCTTGGCTGCCTTCTGTCTCTTGGTGTGTGGAATGCATATTGCTCACGTGAGGAAAACAAGTGCAAGAGCCACTCGCCGTGGGTGGAGGACCGAGCAGGAGCCAGGGTGTCTTGGCAGGCGCAGCGGAAGGCTCCGTGGGAGCTGGCCGCCAGGCTGGGAGCATTTTCATCTTGGACTTTGATTTGGCTTCCAGTAAAGGGCTCTTTGTTTTTTTAACTGCTATCAGATAGAAAAGTGCTCAGCCTGACCAAAGGGTAGAGGAGAAACTTGATTGCAAGAAGCGTAGAGAGGGAGTCAGGTCGTTGGCCCAGCGTCCCGTCATCTTGAGCAAACTGACGCCACGGCCCTGTGAGCCACCTGGTCAGTGTGTGGCTGCTCCCAGCTGCGTGGAGCCCTGGAGGGAGTGCACCTGCCTGGACGCGGGAGGCAGGCATCGGATGGAGAGGGGTGCCAGGCAAGCGGCGGGATACCCTGAGGAACAGTGTGCGGACGCTCTCCACCCTCGCACGTAGAATTCAAATGATTACCCTACGTGGGGTGGCCAGCTTACTTCTTGCATTTTCTTTCTTGTGTAAACCTTGACTTTTCTCTAGATTTTTTCCAGTCCTGGGGATTGAACTCAGGACCCTGCGCTTGCCAGGCAAGCACTTACTCTACTGAGCTGTCTCCCCGGCCTGTTATTTTGCTTTGTTAGCCCAGGCTGGCCTTAAACTCACAGTGATCCTCCTGCCTCAGCCTGGTGAGTGTTGTGATTACAGGTGTGGCCACCTCACCCGGTTCTCTCTTTTCTCTTAATCCTTGACTTGTTGGCATCTTGTCTGCATGTTACGATTCTGGAAGTTTTTAGCTTTCACCTTGTTAATTATATAGAGTCGGATGCATATTTTAAGTCAGTCTCAGGAGTTGGTTTGCAGTTTTAAAATTGAACCCTAAGAATGTTTTTGTCAAAAAAGTAAAATATGAAAATGTATTTTTGTGAGTTTGGAGTAATTACTGCTGCTGAACTGCAGTTATTTTGTTTCTGAATGTGGCTGTCTCAGCCGTATAAGTGCTAGAGCAGCAGGTACGGGAATGCGGGAATGCGTTAGTTCTGCTTTATTCTTATGCACTCTGTCTTGTTATGTAGAAGGGTTGGATCAGCTGATAAAAAAATAGAAGTACAAAATCACCACTACAGACAATAAAACCAGGGATGTAATAGTAGATTAAGAAATGGAGCATAAGGTTGGAGCTTCATATGCAGCTGTAAGTTTCCTTGTTGCTGAAAATAAAATACAGAATGGCTCAGTCAGTCTTTATTAAAGAAGAGAAAATTACCAGTTTTTTTAGTAGCAAGTTTTTATGTAGTTAAAATTGCTAATAAAATTTCATAAACTTTAGTATAGAGGAGAGGATGCTTAGTGATAGAGCAGTGTTCTTTGAAATACCGTAGTTTATATGAAGTCTATGCTAGTTTTAAGACAATCAGTAAATGATAGGGTTTTTGTTTTTTTACAGGTGTACACCACCATGCCCAGTTTGGTGACCCGATATTGGGACCTATAAGCATGATGTGTGCCTAAAATGGACAGCACGCTGGCGTCAGCCTCTTTCGTGCTTTTTGGGGTCACCTTTTGTTAGGTTGTGTTGTGGCCACCAACAGTTCCTGACTCAGTGGCTTTCGGGGCCAGAAGGCTTCCAATTTGTCACATTCTAGGTCACCTTGGCTGACTGTGCAGCTGCAGCTCTGCCTGGGCCTCTATGCCGAGCCCTGTGGGAAGCGGGGGGCAGAGGGGACCTGCCTGGCAGCTTGTTCTCCATTTGTCCTGCTGGCCACAGCTGCTTGCGTGGCCACAGCTGGCACCGTGGGAAGAAGGGAGGGCACCGAGTCAGGAGGAGCAGTGATGTCTACTGTGGTGTCACTCTGCACGGGGAACTCATTTTTGTAAAGATTCACTGCTTTGTAGTTTACACAGAGAGCTTAGAATTTACTTATTGTGTGTGTGTGTGTGTGTGTGTGTGTGTGTGTGTGTGTGTGTTTCAGGGAAGGGTGTTCAGGGCCTCACTGCTAGATTGGACTCTTGTGATTGCCTGTTTATAGCCTCCCAAGA